CCTGCAGCCCTGGACCAGCAGTGCCCTTGTGCCAGCCCAGGGCATCCCATGCCAGAGCTGGGGAACAAACTCTGTTTCTGGCAATAATCTCTGTTAAAGGCAGAGCTGAGGAGCTGCCCTGGCCCGGGGCTCTGTGTGCCAGGTGCCCAAGGCTGAGCAGAGGCTCTGCCAGAGGTGAACCAGGGGATCTGAGGCAGGAGCAGATCTCAGGTCCTGCCCAGAGGTTCCCAGTGGGATTCAGCTCCCTCAGTCCTGTTCCTGTAGGTCAGGACTGGGATGCAGTGATGGAAACTTCCCTCCTCTTTCCTGAACTTTTGCCACTGCAGAGCTTTCTGTGGCCCTGGCTGAGTGCTCAGGGATGAGTCTTGGAGCAAGTTTAACATTTATATTGTTGCCTTTTCTTTATTCAATCCAAGATCCTTCCTGAGCTCCATTATTAAAATACCTTTAAAAAATCATTTACTTTTTAAACCCTGGGTGGGTGAACACAATGGGTGCTGGGAAGTGCAATTTTCTCTCCCATCTCTGCATGGTTTTGCTCCTGCACGTGCTTGCATTGCCAGGTGAAGATTTCTCCCAGGTTAATAAATAGCTTGGCTTAAACTCTAAACCCTCAATCCTAACAAACTGACAAAGTTTAATAAAGCCATTAAAAATGCATGCTGCAATAAATAACCCTCTTCAGCTGAGCACGTGGATTATCCAGCCCACATCTGCATCATTATTTATCTCATGAGCCCAAAGATTTCATAAAAACCCCTGATCCATGTTTTGTGCAAAAGCTCCTGCACATGCTCCAAGAAAGGCAAGAAAAAGAAATCCAAAGTGACAGCTCCTCTCCCAAACTACACTGAGCAGCAGCCAGGCCTCCAGTCCAATATTCAGTGCTGAAAGGGCTTTGATGAGGAGTACCTGGGGTGCTCTGCAAACATCTGGAGGAGTCCAGAGGTGCTTGGGTGGCTCTGGCACTCGGGGAGGTCACGGCAGAGCTGCATTGTTCTGGGGATGTGAGAATTCAAGTTGTGCCTAACAGAGCTGAGACTAAAGCCTGGCTCTGCCCAAAGCCTGGCCCTGCCCAAAGCCTGGCTCTCCCCAAACCCTGGCCCTGCCCAAAGCCTGGCTCTGCCCAAAGCCTGGCTCTGCCTCCGGGCTGCTCCTTGCTCTGGGCACCAGTCCTGCCTCCTGCTTTTCATTTGCTAAAAGTCAGCAGGAAAACTCAGTGACTTCAGCAGCTGGAACTGAGCTGCCTTGGAGAAGGAGGAACTTCTCCCCCTGAGCTAAAGCTGTGCCAGAACCCAAAGTGCAGCTCCAGACACCTGCACTGAGCCTCAGCAGGGCCCCCCCGAGCAGCTGCAGCCCAGGAGGGGTGGGAGGGATGGGATGGGACTGATCAGGATGGATCAGGATGGGATGAATGGGATGGGTCAGGATGGGGTGGATAGGATGGAGCAGGATGGATGGGATGGATCACAATGGATGAGATGGATGGGATGGATAGGATAGGATGAATAGAATGGGATGGACAGGATGGATAGAATGGGATAGATCAGGGTGGGCAGCAGCAGTGTGGGCAGCCCCACAGGATCACTCTGGGCCCCACATTTCCCCAGCCTCCCCCAGCAGGACCAGCAGCTCTGCCTCTGCCACCCACAGCCAAAACCAACCCCAGAGCCCTCAGGCTTTGCCCTTCCCAAGCCCTCCAGGCTCTGCCAGGCCCATGCCCATCTCCCAGCTCCCAGAGCTGTTCCCTGGCAGCAGATCCTGCCCAGGACCTGCCAGAGCTGCTCCATCTCTCAGGGTGGTTTGGGAGGATGAAGTAACTTTTCTTGGAGCTGGGGCTCCCCTGGGCACAGCTGCAAATGAAACAACACATTCTGTATGATTTTCTCTTTAGTGCCTGGATAAGAATCTTAAACACCAGGAGCCCTGGGGTAGAGACTGGAGCTGTTTGCTAAAGTGGGAATAGATCCTAGGGAGAGAAGCTGAGGAATGGGGAGAAATGCATTTTCATTGACTCACACAGCTCATTGCAGAAGGAAAAGCTGGAAGTGTCATCTCTGTAAGGCAGCAGGAAGCAATATATAAACTTTAGGTTAGAGCAGCAAGCCACCCTCCAAACATTCTGCTTTACCTCCAAAGATGTTTTTGCTCATGAGTCAGGGCTGATCCCAAGCCAGTGGGAATGTTTCTATTTACTTTGAGATTGTGCCTGCAACTGTAAATCCAACTTATCTATCCTGAGGCACACCAGTGATCCCTTCCAAGGCTTGATTCTCCCCTCCCTCCCAGGATTACAAACCCAAACTGCTCTGAAATCCAGAGCTTTGTGCAGAGCTTTGTGCATCCAGCAGCGAGCTGGGGCTGGGCTGGGCTGAGGGGAGAGCCTGAACTCCTCCTCCTCCTCCTCTGAGAGCCCTGGAGCCCCTCAGGGCTGCACCAGACCCTGCTGCTCATGAATGAAAAGTTTCACCCCTGAGCCTCTCTGCGAAAAACGCCAATCGCTTGTTTTTAAAATTTTTAAAGTTTGATAGTAATAGAATCGTTATAAAAATAGTAATACAGTTAGAGGAATAATAATTTGGACAATTTGAATTGGGACAATATGAGACAATAAAGACAAAAAGTTACGGATGTCCAGGTACCTTTTCTGGGCAGCACGAGCCTGAAAAAGGACACCCATTAACACAGGATTAACCCTTAAAAGCAATAGCTTGTTGCATATTCATACACTTCATACATGATGCATAAATTCCATTCAAACACAGGATTCTGTCTGGGCAGTGTCAGCTCTTCCTCCGAATCCTAACTTCGAGGCAGGAAGAAATTCGTTTCTTCTGATAATGGAGCAATAAATTCCCTTTCTCTGAAAGATTCAGGTGTCCTGTGGCTGCTATCTCACTGCGAGTCCTTTCTTTTAAAAAAAGTATCTTACATAGCATTGTTTCTATTTTAACAATTTTTATAACCTAAAGCTATATTTAACACACTACTTAAGAGAACTAACACAGAATTAACACTAATTTAATTAACTAATTCTGTGTTAATTAACACAGAATTAACACAACTTTCTAACACAACACATATAATATTCATTTTAACATTTGCCAAAAGCCAACCATAAAATACACGCATTTTTCACACTCTCCAAGACGCGTCCCAAGGGTTTTTCTTGGGGCAAGAAGAAGCGACTTTGGGGGGGCAGCCGAGCCCTTCCTGCTCCTGAGAGCTCCTCTCCCCCCAGGCTGCGCTGCCGGGAGCCCCACGGCCACCCCCAGC